AAGGAAGAATACGAAGTGTTGATAACGATAAGGGAGATTTTTTCGAGATGATCTGACGAACGGTGATTGGATGCTGCGACAGCTGCGGCAGTGATGTCGATCATTAGCGAACTTTGGGGGGGCCGCCCTGGCAAACTCGTGCAAAATGCGATACCAGCTAAAAATCTAATTTCGATGCAAAACCAAGCCCCAGTATCCATTCCTGAAGGCGACCTTATTTCGTTCGATGAAAACCCACCGACACACCAACCCACCCAGCCAAGAGAGGCAAGTGCGCCGGCAGTCGACCCCGGGATAGGATCTACTTCAAAGCAAAATATCATAAACTACCAAGATAGTGGCAGAGCCTCATTGCTTCGCAATAAAACTATCTTAATTCATAAAAATATAGCAAATAGGTTTGAGTTTTATGATGGAAAAAGAAAATGGTATAGTGTTAAAGAAGATTTCTGTGCTTTATCTAACAAGTACTATTTTATTAAATCAGATTTAAAAGAAACAACTATAGAAGCCTATAAAAGAATTATCAAAGAATCAGAAACTATAGCAGAAAAAACAAATGGACAAGTTGATATATGAAAATCTGGAAGTTATATATTAACAAGTTTAAAACTTTTTAGAGAAACTACTTTAGTATCAAAAAGAAGCGAAAAAGTAAATGAAAAAGAAAATGCTTGGTTAAATTTAGCATCAACAGGTGCTTTAGTATTTGCTGAAAGATATGAAGGAGAAGCTATTCAATATGACGTAAACTCAATGTATATATATGAAATGTTAAAGAAAGAGGCATCATGGCCTTTTGCACAAGGTAAATTTCATACAATAAATTCAACTTTTGCTGAAAAATGGGGTAAATTTCCGTATAGAATTTATAAAGCAACAATAGAAGGAAATCCTCTAAAGAAAAGCCTTCAATATACAAGATATTTGCGATATAATCTATATAGAATTTATACACATTATAATTTAGAAAGTGCTAAAAAAAATGGATTGAAAGTATATTTAATGAATGAATCACCAAATGCACTTATATATGAAAAAAATACTCGTATTAGTGAAAGAGACATGTTTGGTAAATGGGGAAATATATTATATAATATTAAGAAAGAAGGTGAAATAGCTGGAAAAGTAAGTAAAGCATTATTAGTTTCATTATAGGGTGTCTTATGTGAGCAAAGAAATAGGCAAAATTATGGTACACACCCACAAATAAAACCATTCTTATTAGCATCAGCACGAAAAAGAATATCAGAAATTGTAAAACTACTAGGAGATCAAGTAAAACGTATACATACAGATAGTTTTATTGTAGCTGGAAAAGTAGAACTTAAAACGGGAATAGAAATGGGTGAGCTAAAATTAGAGAAAAGAGGAGTTTGTGTAGTAAAAAATTGTATATTAGTTACATAGAAACTATCATATCCAGAAATTCCAAATTTGACTATTTTCGAAGAAAATGAGCTTCACACTACAAATAGTTTATTAGATTTTGGAAAAATACAAGATAAAGAGCAAAATACAAAGTTAGATACAGAGTATCCTGTCTCACAGACAGTAAAAAGGAAACCATTAAAAAGGTCTGATATAAATCTTCTAAATGAAATTATAATAGAAATATTTCAACATTTACGAACACAAAATGATATATTAAACACGAAGTGTCCTGCTTCACAGTGTACTAATAATGAATTATTATCACTAGTTTTATATGTTAATAAACGATAGAATAAATGTGCAACATATTTAATATGGAGAAGAATTACATTATATAGATACAATATTATAAAATTTGTAGAATTAGTAAAAAAGAAACCATTACCGAATATAATGAAATATATAAAACAGATAGAATTCGAAAGAATAGATAATTATTTTAATACGAATGAATTTCTATTAGAAGACATTGTAGGTATAAGCCAAGATATAATAACTATATCATTTAAAGATTGTGGTTGGGGATTTCTTAACAATAGTTCACTAAAAATAACATTGGATACATGCAAGAATCTAAAGCATATATTTATCTATGAAAGTAATCGAATAGCACCAAAAACTGTCTTAAGTATACCAGAAAACTATACAAGTATAAAAACTATAAAAATACAAAATTGTGAACGAATAACAGATAAAATAGTAAATCAATTAGTGAGTAAATATCCGAAAATTGAAATTAATAAAATAGAAGTTGACTCATGAAATGAGGATGATATTGCATTTCAAATTATAGAAGATATATTTGATGAAGACTAGTTTATGGTAATAGATGAGTAAGTTAAAAAACTTATTAGAAGATAACTGCTTTTTTTATCACATGTTTAAAAATAATCTAGCTTTGAGTAATGAAATTATGAGAAGGTGGAATAATAAAACTCGTATTGAATAAATTTATATTATATTATATAAAACAAAATATAGAGTAAGTATAAACCA